TACTACTACTACTACTACCTACTACGGCTACTCCTGCTGCTGCTGCTGCTGCCGCTGCTGCCGCTGCTGCTGCTGCTACTGCTCACTGCTCCTGGTACTACTACTTACTTCTATTTCTCCTACTACTTCTTCTTCTGCTGGTGCTGCTAGACTACCTTCCGACTTGAGGTTCCCTCGACCCCACCGCTCCTTGCGCAGGAGATGGCGCGCCTCCTTTCGCTGATGAAGCAACTCCAGGATCGGGGTAATCGGGTATTGGGTCGGGCGCGGCAGTTGGGAGTGAGTAAAGGCGCCCGGTTATTGCAGTGGGAGGCCAAAACTTTCAAGTCAACGGAAGGACGCCGGGTATGTCCATACCCAAGTCTATCTGCTTGACCCGTTGTATGCTGTCGGACATGATTCACCAAATCAGTGCTGGCGAGGAGATGTTGGAGCGTTGCGGACTATCGGGCCTGCTGGAGAAGCCTTCGGAGCTGGAAGCTATGAAGCTTGGCTGTTTGCCAACCCTTGTCAGCCAAGTCCCTCGCATTCTGATTTCTGTTAGGAAAAGAAGTGTGCAGTGAACGTGGTTTTGACCCTGCGACACAGCTGAGGCTTGTGCGCTACAAAGCCATGCAAGCCTCCTTTGAGAAGAGCGGCTTCTCGGAGTTGTTTGAGGATACCGACAGGCTGGACAAGTTCCTCGAGACTCACCGACAGGCTCGGAAAGCACTTCTGCTCCGAAACGCTATGTGCGACTCCACGGTTGTTCCTGGCATGAGCGGGGTACAGGTCCGGTCGTCGTTCCAAGCTGCCGGCTTCGAGAATTTGCTGGATGATGCCGCTGCCGCTGGCCATCATCGGTTTCTAATCTAAGCAGGACCCACCAACCCCTGAGATCTTCCGCTCGCAGCCTGAGTTTTTGACAGCAGCACTGTCCCGATGCCGAACCGTCACTGTAGGCCCGCAACCGCGGATATGCAGTTCTCAGATTGAGGAATTGAGACAACTGGCCCGAGACGGGGATGCACTCACCTCAACCGGTCTGAGTCCAGAGTAGGGCTGTCAAACCGCTCGTCGATAGCCGAATCTCTGTACAAAACGTTCCGCTCAGGCAGCAGAGCAGTTCTTCCAACAGCGCCAGGCTTTCTTATCCAAACTTTTCAAAGCACTGCTGCGACCGGGGTGTCGTACCCGCAAGCTGCAAGAGTGGGGAGTTTCTGCATGGTGCAGAGATAGCTATGGGCTGAGTTCATGTGCACGGGATCTTCAGACAGGTATGCTGAACCGTAAGACTGGCTGTAGATGGAGTTTTATGCTGTGACGTCCCACAGAAACCATACTGAACCTCCGCAAAAGTCTACTGCCAAACGTGGCTCCATGAATCAGCGCTCAATCTGACTACGTGACCATGTGCATGTCCAGAGATGTTGCTGCTCTCTCGGTTTCTTTTCCGTCTCTCTCTTCAATCCCTTTTGTCTGCATATACATACATTTATATATATGTATATGTATGTGTATATGTATATGTATATATGCATATACATATGCTACTACTGCCACTACTGCCACTACTACTACCGCTACTACTCCTACTGCTACTACTACAAACTAGTATAGTACTAGTAGTAGTAGTGGTAGTAGTAGTAGTAGTAGTAGTAGTACTAGTAGTAGTAGTAGTCGTAGTAGTACTAGTACGACAACGACGGCGACTACTACTACGAACTACTACGACGACGACGACGACTACTACTACTACTGCTACTACTACTGCTACAACAACAACTACTACTACTACTACTACTACTACTACGACGACGACGACGACGACGACGGCTACTGCTGCTGCTGCTGCTGCTGCTGCTGCTGCTGCTGCTGCTCAATTCCGAATGAACCCGAAAATGAAAAAGGAGGTCCAAAACAACCTAAGCCGCGAACTCTCAATCATAAAAGCAGATGCCGACATCGCCGATATCCCTAAACTCAACACTCCGAGTCCTCAGGCGTTGAAAATCCCGGCAACACGGAGCCTGAAGTGGTGGAACCCAAACTGTTTGACCGCCAGCCGAGCCCCAGCCGCAGCCCAGCCGCCCCAGCCGCCCAGCATGGCTCAGCAGCCCAGCTCAACCCGTCCAGGCAGCCCAGCCCAGCCCAGCCCCAGCCCAGCCAATGATAGGCATTTTATATATTTTTTGATGCGTTTTTGTCTTTTTACTGAATCATTTTTTGTTTTTTTTCGATGCTTATTTGTCGAGGCACGGCCTTCCAACGGCCCTGGTCACTCGCCACTTGTCAAAGAAGATAGGACTCCAGCGCTCTTTAAGATCAGGTGCAGCTAAGCTGCCGTGCAGTTTTCATCCGACCGTGCTGAGGCAACTCTGCGTCGACCGTGGGATGGCTGCATGCTCCTTGCCATGCAAGGTTCTGAAGAAGCTGTGACCAATTAACTTCAACCAAACAAGCTCCACGCTTTTTCCCCAAAAGCCGTTGGGGGTTGGGCTCTCATTTAGATTTTCCAACCACGTGGCCCGCGATACGGGGTGCAGCGCAGGAGCGCAAGCGTTTAGATGGGGGCGGGATGGTAGGCGATACGGGGCGTGCGTGCGGCGCAGGGCGGGGTGCGTGATGCGCCGGCGGGAGTCCACCGGGCAGCTCGCGATACGGAGCCGGGGCGCGGCGGGGTCGCGGTATGATACGGGGCACGACACGGGCCGGGCGGGGTTTCGACCGGGCGGTCGGGACACGAGTTCCCCATATGGGGCGCGGTGCGGAAGCCAAGACCGGGCGATTCCACCGGGCAGCTCGCGAGATTTGCTTTGCGGTTGCATTTCGGGTTCCCGGGTTGACCTTCTTGCTCAGGACAAACTCTGGAGTCCGGCTGGCATCCCTGCTTTCCATCCGGCGCTGAGCCGCGATGACGTGGACCGACCTGGGCCCAAGTGAAATCTCCATTCGATTCATTCGATGTGCCGATATGTCGAGGAGCATGACAAGCCGCATCCAGCGGCCCTCGAGGTCGAGGGCTGGTGAGCTCATTGCATCGCCTCGGAGTGTATAGACCAGAGGGGAAATGTCCACATCTTGACCTCATGTGCAGCTGCAGGCAATTGCGAGGAAGTGGAACCAGCAACTAGGCCGGGGCCGTCCTGCAAAGTATTCTACTATGATATTGTGATGTAGTAATATGGTATTTTCGCTGGATTTCATTCGCCTTCTTTCGCCCCTGAATCCGAAGAGGCTCGGGGCTGCTGATGGTCGGGGACTCCCCTTCGAATGCTCCTCGGTTCCGCAGGGCGAGCTCGGAGAGCAGGGGAGAAGAGAGAAGACAGAGAGCGGCATTTCCTTCCTTATGTTTCAATGCAATATAGATGCGCAGTGGCTTTTGGGTTTTGGCGCTGGCTGGCGGGATAGTCGAGGCACTTGACTTTGCATTCTTGTCGCTTTGAGTCCTCGTTGGGATGTTGTCGTGCCCCAATCACCAGTCTATCCAGAATGCTGAAGGCTGACACCAAGCAACGCATAGTGAAGTGTCTGGAGCCTGCATGGAAAATGGCTTTAGCTCAAGTCTTCAGCTCCAAGTGCAATTTGCTGTCTCCAAAAAGCCCGATGACGCACAGACAGTTGGGTAGCAACCAAGAAGGGTCATGGCCACTTGACAAGGCAAATGTAGAGCAAAGGCCTGACTGAGATCACACGAGAAACGAAGGGTTTGGCAGACAAGGACAGTGCAAGCCCGGACGGACGAGGGTGTTGGGGGGTACCCCTTAGGGTCGGCCCTTAGACAGATGGTTGTACAATGTTGTATATGCATGTGCGCAGCATCCCGGTGTCCAGGACATTGGTTTTGGCAAAGCGGCCGGAGTGTCCACCGCTCTCGTGGACCCGAGGAGGAGGTTTCGTGACGGCGAGTCTCGGCAAATGGAGTTAAGGAGTGGCATGGGAGCTGCTGGTTTCACGTTGTTTGCACTGCCGTGAACAAGTTTCTGCGAGCCTGAGGCAATTTGGACCGGAGTCTTTTTGAAGCAAGATTTGCCAAAGGGCCCTTGTCGCTACCTGAGGACTCCAGCTACGGCTGCTGGGTTGCATCCTTGGCTCAAGCGGCTCTCCCCTACCTTGCCTGGGCCAGGTGCGGACGTCGTCATCGACAGTCTACTTGAACTTCCACAGCTTCTTTGGAAAACATTCGACATTCCAGGCAAACCTTCGTGCAAGCTCGACCTGTTTAAGTTTAGTCTCTGGACCAAGATCCAACACATGGCCATCAAGAGAGGAGGGTCCACCAGGAATCCGGAAATCTGTCTTTCGGGAGGCCCGCTGGGCTCCACCTCAGCGCAGACTCTCGCCCGAAAGTCGGAGCCGTGGCAAGAAGGGCACGGGAAGTTCGAAGACTTACGTCCTGAGTCGCTTCGCTGCATCCTGAGGAGCCTTTGCCAGAGACGGCCGCATGTCGCGCAGCCGTTGATGGAGACATTGCAGCATTGAAAGCGATGGCGAGGGAGGCTCGTGAGGGGTTTTCAGGCTGCCTCAACACTGGCATGGTGCCAAGCTCTGGCACAGAATTCGCAGTCGGGGCGCAACTGATTCGCTTGGCAGGACCTTCTGGCAGCAGACTCTAGCGGAAACACCCCGCCGCTGGGTGATTTAATGCTGCAAGAGTTGTAAACTGAAGGAGGCTTGACACCATGCAGATGGAGCTACATCCGTTGCATGACAATGCATAGCACAAACGGAAGACAAGGCGCGACATGGCATACACCATGCATGGCCCATAAACGGAGGTGTGACGTTTTTCTCCAAGCTCCGAGTTGTCTGCTTTTCAGACGAATCGACTTGGCTGAGGCTTGTTTGGGCAGCCGATGCTGGGAAGGCAGATGCGGTTGAGTCGCTGCTGGCAGCTGGCGTGGAAGTCAACGTGAAAGGCCAGGGGAGCTCCCAGACGTTTGTTACTTTTTCTTTCTTCTGGGAAGCTGCAGGCTACTTGGGCAACACCGCCGTGTCCCGGGCCTGCCGCCGTGGTCACGACTCGGTCCTGCGAGTTCTGCCCCTCGGGCCTCGGGTCAAGCCTAAGTCCCTAAGTCCCGAAGTGCGTATGCGCGGCGATCTGCTGAGAGGGGGGTGAGGGGGGGCTGAGCTCCAGAAATAAATCCCTCATCGCCTCAGGTTGAGGTCCGGAACGGGCGTGGATTTGGATGAGCCGAACGAGAAAATGCAATCACCTCTTCATTTCGCGGCATTCAAGCAGAAGACTGAGGCCAGGTTACAGGAGCTTCCAGGAATGACGTTGCATCAGGCGGTGCAGGGTTCATGGTTCATCGCTTCGCAGCATCCGAAGCTTCGGCATGTCCGACAGCCTGGAAAAAAGCGTCGGATCCATCCCGGAGGCTGTGAAGCTCATGCTTGCCGCTGGGGCCAGCACCACCTCGCTGGATCGGAAGGCCTCGCCTCGCCCCGCCCTCTTCACCCTCTTCGCCCTCTTCCGGCAGCAGCGTCTCACTGCACCGCAGGGCCGGACCCCCGCCGAGGACACGAGCGACCCCAACATCCGCGCCTCAGTCTTGATGGAAGTCTCTTTGTAAGCCTTCGTTTGTGCGAGCTCCAGGTGAGCTGATTCTCCAAGCGCGGGCGTCGCTTTGAGCGTCACGCTGATATGGCAAAAAGAACGGGTTATATTCAGCTTAAGCGGTTTGGCTGCCTGCCTTCCCTGCTGGAGCAGAGCGCCTTCTCTGGCAACCGTGGGCCGTGTTGGGCTCGAACTGACAGGGAGGGCTATTATCAAGAATCGCGGTCCACATGCAGAACCGTTCCGCTTCCGTCCACGCTTCCCACAAAATCAGCCCCAAGCCATACAAATGCAAGCGGAAAGAATTCCACGGCTTATCTGTTCGGCAGCCGACCCCTGAACCCCAAACAACCTACGAACGACTTAACGGCGCATCACTGAAACCCAACAAGCCCACGGGCATTAACATGGCAGCTCCGACCGTCAGTCAGGCCAGCTACAGTGTGTCTGCTACAGCTTGCAGACATGCAAACAGCAATGATGGAATCAGATCCGTTAATCCAATCAGATGCTGTTGCCCTGCCCATGTGTGGATCGGAAGCCTCTGCAACTCATGATGCATGTTCAGGATGGCTTCAAGGGCCACAAGTTGCTCAACGAGGCATGGATCGTGGCTCACGAATATACATGGTCCAATGCATGGTGGTACCGGGCGTAGCAAAGCAGTGAAGCAACTTCCAGCCACAGAAGGCCATCCAGCGGTATGGGGGATTCACGTGGCAACCAAAGAGGAGCAAGCGAGAGGCTCACTTCCACCTCTCGCCAGACAGAAGTGCCTCGGGGGTTTCTGGCAGCGCTCTTCGCCTCAAGCCTAAGGCCGTCTGCCAGCTTGCGAAGCTCTGCTGGAGGTGGCTGTAAGCGCATTCGCCACTGGTAGCTCGCGTGTCCCAGCATGGATACCATACTGTGACGTCAGCCCTGTTTTGCTTGCAGGACCAAAGAGCGGAGGCAATGGCCTGCTGTCCACGCTTGGCAGAGTACTGCAGGGCCTCCGTGGATTTGCTTCCGTGTAGCCAGGGTTTGCCATGAGGCGACTGCCAGGCTTCATAAAATGATATCATGTGGCAGCTGTTTGGATGAGCTTCCTTTCAGACCGTTTCGGTTCGCAAGACAGCGGCTCCTGGCAAAAGGAGCATCATTCACACTTGACTGGCGAACTCTGGCACTAGTCATTGTTTAGATAGCTCAGGACCTTTCCTACATCTCCTTGCAGCAACAAGAATAATATCACACACACACACGCACACACACTTCCACAAGAGCTGAAATGCAAGCTGCACCTGTTGCAGCAGTCTACCGAAACCCACCAGAAGCCCACCGAAGCCACTATATGGTTCCTAAGCGAGTCTTCACAGCATAATTAGATTGCACTGACCCGACAGCTGGGTGGGTTGTCTCCATGCCTCCGCCGGCAGCATCCTGCTGAGCGGGGCGAGAATGCTCTCCGGGCCTGTGCGTGTGCAGCCAGAAACCAAGTGCCTTGGCCACCTTGTGGCTGGAGAGATGTGCCTTTTGAAACAGGGACTTCAGCTCTATGCCTTGATCGATTTTAGTCCTCGTAAGGAACAGGATTTTCGGTTCCAGTCCAGAGCGTTTGACTTCATTGCTGCCCCTGGTTGAGGTATGTTGCCGAAGTCGTGGTTCTGGTTACCACGCTCGGCGCGAAGCGTGTGGAGTACAACGCAGGGAAGCGGGCACGGGACTGCTGGGTGGGCTGCAATGCTCGTGGGGAGGATGAGCCTATGGTTTAATTCCGGAAAAGGTGTTGAAAGCCTGCTGCGTAAACTGCAACAGAATTCTCTTTGGTCTTCTTATAGACGGGGTCTTGGCAGCGGCAAGCGCCTGCAATTTCACGCGGGATTTGTGCCGCCGGTCAGGACCTTCTTGAAATCAAGGGCGTGCAGCCCTCAAGGGGTGATCTGAGCGATTTACTTTATGGGAGACGAGACTCCTTGGGGGTTTGCCCCTTCGACTCCGAGGTCCACCACAAAGTCATCGACTTCAACCGGGATGCGAGACAAGCGGGTACTGGAGACGCCGAGAACAAGGCCGGCCGCGGAGAGAGAGAGAGAGAGACCGCTATAGCAGGGATGATGCTACAAAACCAGAGCCACCCGGCACACTCCCGGCAATGCCCAAAGCTACAACTCCGCTGGCGTGTGAAAGCCGATCCCAAGTTGCAGCCAAGGCGGGGTTCCTAAGATGGGCACTTGTGGAGTATAGAGGACACTGCTGCGCACATTTTCGAGGCTCACTCCACGTTTCACACCGACTCAGACCGAACTCGGACGAAAGTGTAGCGCTGCTGCCCAACCCCAAGCGCCGCGCAAGCAAGCAAGCAAGAAGGAGAGAGAGAGAGAGAGATCAGAGAGAGAGCATCATCCATTTCGTTTTTCTCGTTTCCGCAGACCGCGGAGCCATATCTTTTTACCGGTGATTGTGGGGTTTCACTCCCCCCCACAAGGCCTCACAGCACGAGCGCACCTTTCGGTGCCCGGAGCCCTCGCCAGCTCCCTGGACCCCGGAGTGAAGTGAAGAGAGAGCATCAGCCACCACCTGTTTGTACCATCGCACGATCGTGGAGTGTTTCTGCTTTATGTATTCGCTGATGCCAAAGGCTTTGGACGAGCCCAGTTGCTGAGGGATGCAGTTTTCCATGTTTGGCAACAGCTCGCGCGCGGTAGGGAGGCAACTCCCCACCACACCCCTGGCGAAAGAAGAGATAATTGGTATGTGGAGTCTTGCCCGGGTCCGTGTACTGACTTCCCCCGAAGGCCCCATTGCCACTGGGGGGCCCTATGGGCCGGGGGGCCTGACCTGCCCCTTTAACCCGAAGGCAGAAGAGAGTGACAGAGAGACAGAGTGCGATCGATCGATGGACATGCACCTCGAACGAGAGCGAGGGCCTAACTTTAAGTCTTTAAGTGCAGTGGAAAGACACAACGAAGGAAGGAAGAAAGCAAGGAAGCGAGAGAGAGAATCAAATGCACAGGGGGCTGTGGAACATTGCGCTTCGCAGAAAGACGAAGTGTGCCAAAAGAGCTGTCCTGCAGTACATTGCGTCCTTCTGTGGTGCTTGAGTTGTCTGGAAGCGGAAGGTTCGACGAAACTCTAGCGAAGTCTACGTTCTGTCTGTTGTCTAAGCCGAGTATTTGTCCGCCATGCTCTCCCAGCGAGAGGAGGGAGAGAGAGAGAACAAGAATGCGATGGGGGGGCAACAACCCTCGACCATAGCCCTGGCGAAAGAAAGATTGATAGCGGGGAGGAGGGTTGCTCCCCCTTCCTCCACCAGCGGGGCGTAGCGTGATGGCTGAGTGCAGGGAGGGGAACGGCTGAGCCCAAGCGCGAAAGCGGGGATGACTGCGGATTGTGCGACCCTGGACGCAGGCCTCTTTTGAACGGGGTTCACCACCATACCCCTGGCAAGCAAGAGAGGAGAGGAGACAAAGAGGCAGTTTCTCAGGCTGTATTAAAAACAATAACATGAGGAGAAAGACAAGGAAAGAACAAGATGCAGCCACCACCACACGTGCATGTATTGGGGAATATATTGAATGAGGCAAAATGTGATCAAGGGTGTCTTTTCCCTTTGTGGTTCAAACTAGAGCAACATTGGCCATAGCTGCTACTGTTTGTCGAAGAGGCCACAACTCCACACGGCTACGACCAGGCCCTGTGAAAAGGGCGTGCTGTCAACGAGGGCTATGTCATGTACCATGAAGACGGGAAGAGAGGGAGATGGAACGAGAGAGAGAAAGAGAGCCGGGGACTTACTCCCCTCGAGGCAGGAGCGGCCAGAGCCATTCCATTGGCCAGCACAGCAGAGACGAGTGCTCCCGACCAGCTCCACTCCCACCCGGAGCACCACGTGACGACCGGGGCGAAGTACAACAACTAAGTCTACTACCAGGACGCCGCGCAGGGGAACGACGAGAAGCACGAGGTCACCGGGAACTTTCAGGAGAAGCACAACAGCGACACCTACTACCAGCCCCCCACGGAACCAACACCAACTCCTACACCATGGGCGGCTCAACTTGTCCCACCGGACGCCGAGGACCACCCTTTGGACAGCTGCATGGTGGAACAGACGGGGACTGACCTTCCCCACCAAGAGGAGGAAGCAGACTGGGACCGCGACAGCCAGGACGAGGTCTTGGAGACCGAGCAGCCATGGGCCATCGAGCTCGTGGGGATCGCAACGGGAGCGGAGCCAACCGGGCCTCCACCAAAAAAGCACCTGAGCAGCAAGGCAAGGCGGATGGCACCGCTGACTGAAGAAGCCCGCGTGGCTAGGAACCGCCAGAACAGGGCAGAGTGGAGGGAACGCCGCAAACTACGCCGGCGGATGGGTTTGGAGCCGGGTTACCTCTACGACAACGGCGTGGAGAGGGCTACGAAGCGACCGCGACCTGAAAGGTGAGAGACGGGCACCAAGTGAGCAGCAAAGCTACACACAAGTAGGGCGCACCCAGTAAGTAGGGGGCTCAAACCACGAGTCCACCACAACTCCACTAGGGACAAGCAGGGGCCTCAGAGCATCACAACTCCACCAGGGACAAGCAAGGGCCTCAGAACATTTTGTTAGGTTCCCGTATGTCGGCCTTGTACCCTGACCCTGTGCTTCCTAACTCACAGGCCAATGTTCCCTCCACAGCACACCACCGCCAGCACAGGTACCCAGCGATGTGATGTGTTCCTCTACTTCTTTTGGCCCTACTCTCGTGCTTCCTCAGGGGACCAGCGCTGCCAACAAGGAACCTAGGCCACAAACCGTAGCAAGGCGCAGTCTTACAGTCAGTAGGCGAGGGGACCCCAACAAAACTGTCCATTTTGCTCTGGATCCTTGGCACGCTGTTGGTACCGTACTTGCAACCAGGCGCAAACGGGGACCCCAACAAACAAGCTCCAAAAAAGCTGTCGCCAACGCAAGGGGACTAGCGCGGAGCAACAACACAGACAGGGATCGGCACTAACGAGGTGGCCTAGGCGGGGACATGGCACTCCATGGGTTTCGGAGGGGATTTGGGCATGCGGGGGAGTAACCTGGCCACCACACTGCCGATCCTCAACACGTCTCACTCCAACAGACCCAACTGGACGGAGGCGTAGCGCTAGCGCGCAAGGGTTCAGGGGGTAACCCTTGGCCTCAAAAGCCCGGCAAGCAAGCAAGCAAGCCCTATGCCCGATAAAACATCGGGTGGGCTTGATGCGCGGGGGCTTTGACCGGCCCCCATGCCCGGGAAAGAGAGAGAGAGAGGTGTGATGATGGGTCAACCCCCTGCTCATAGCCCTGCCGAAAGAAGGTGTGATGATGAGAGAACGAACGAGCCTACCAGCGGACACGACGTGAAGGTCAAAAGTAAAACACAGCCCCAACTCAACACAGGAAGCATAGAGGCAGGGCAGCTCCGCCGAGGCCATCCAAAAGTTGATGGAAGACCGGAGACTTCAGACAGGTGGCAACAATGACTTGCTCCTTCCACAGGCCTGCGCTCCTCAGATCCACACCGGGGTCTCCGTGAAACTCCACAGTTGAAAGGCGTAGGGTTTGGAGTTCGGTAATTTCCAATTTGAGCCAGAAAGTTGCATGAAAGCCTGTCGCATTAAGGAGTCGGAGTAGGGTTGCAGAATTTGGTTTCGAGCCATCGAGTGACATCTCTGGACCCGGAGGTCGCCGTAGGGTTCCTGACGCATGGTGGCGGATGGTGTTCTGTGGTTTCTGCGCAGGTGTTTATCGATGGCAACTATGCGCCTTGGATTGGCCTTCGAAGAGGAGGGCCTAACTGATGTGTGTGTGTGTGTGAGAATGCTGGCAGCATCTGCAAGTTTTGTATGCGAGTCCGGCAGTAACTCACCCGACCACACCTGGACAAGGCATGGATTCCCGGTCAAAACGAACTGCTCAACTGGGCTCTCACGTCTAAGCACGCTCGAAGCTTGAAAAACACAAACAGATCTCTTGGGCATCCCAGGTCGGCAATGCTTCTGATCTGCAGGGTCTGGAGGATGATGGGTTGCTGGAGAATATCCTTCTTCGCGGCACGGCCGATCAGACATGGTTATCCTTCGACAATCACGGAAGCATCGTGATTGGCCGTCAGGGGTCCGTCATAGGACCCAAAACTCTGAGAAACCTTCACACCCTCCAAGTGCTCCAAGATGTAGAAGTAGCAATGCACGAATTCGCCACGGAGCTGCCGGTTGTTGGCCTTAGCCAAGGCAAGGCTTGCATGCAGTGCGGCTATTCGAGCACCTCGGCGATGTCTCCCGGAGCCGTGTCTCCGCGCTTGAGGCATGTCACTTTCGCCATGTGCCCTGACGGGCTTTCGTAGCCGCATGCGACTCAGGGCGGTCGCGTTGTCCTAGGACGGGATCCCGGCATGACTCAGTGTCCGGCCTGCGGGGCAAGTTATCAGGAGAGGAGCTGGCAGAGGGTATCGGCCCTTCGCCTGAGCCGCACTTAACGCTTAGCAGTCGCTGAGCACAGAGGAGATCTTGCCGGGAGAGATGACCATCAGCCAAGCCCTCCAGGCTAGGGTGCACCGTCGCTGCCGATGTGTTTGAGAAGTCGCCTTCAGCATACGAGACAGTGATAGCCTTGCGGCGAATCTGGATCTGCTCCAGGAGCTGGCGCAGCACGAGGATGACTTCGACGACGAGGATTCGCAGAAGTTGAGACTGCCCCCCTCCGTCAGTTGCAGTCCCAAGACTCAATACATGTTGCCCTGCGCGCGGATGAGCTGTTGCTGTCCTCGCATGCTGCACATGCAGTCCACTTGTGTCCAGTCTGGATCAGTCTGGCAAGATGTTGTGATCGAACTTGCGCAGTACTACGAAGACGGCGAGGAGGAGTTCCCGGAGGCAGAAGCTCCCACTGTGGCTAGTCCGTCCAGCGTGCAGCTTCCTCCCAGCGGGCAGGAGGATGTAGTGACCCAAACGGTCACCAAATCGCTCACCGAGTTTCCGGAAGAGCGACGTTCGGCCCTTGGCCTTCGACCGGGACGGAGGTTCGAAGAGAAGACAGGGGGGTGCAGGGTCGCAGCGCTCAACGCGTCCTCCCACCGCATGATTTAACTTCTAATGCATCTCCCACACTGAATGTTCCCAGCTGCACACGACTCCTAAGTCCATAGCCCTAAGCACTCCAACCACAAAACAGAAGCTGGCAGAGAAGAAGGCATTGCACAACTCATGAGGCATTACATCATTACATGATTGACAAAGGCAGGCGTGGCAATGAGGTGCGCACTCATCAAGTATATGGGTGGTGCAGTGGACTGGGCTGTCTAGAAACAAGCTAGACAGCATCGCTATCTCTCTCTCACGTCAGTTGTAGAGCAAAAGTCTGGGCCAACCTCGTTCCCAGGGCCTGCAGAAACAGGCTCGGGGGGAGCTTTGACAATTGCCTTTTCACGAGGTGCACGGATTGCTGGGTACAGCGGCGGTGCTGCAACTTGGCATGCAAATGAAGCATTTATGGTGAGGGATGGTGAGGGTTCCGTGTGGGGAATGGAGACGGGCGTCCCAATAAGTTTTGGTTTAGCCAGCTGTCTCTTCCATAGCTTTTGCCGTCTCATGCCTGGGACGGCAATGACCGCGAAGTTGCAGATCTATAGGGTACAGCCGCCAGCGGCAGCAAGACAGACCTAGTGCATAATTTGCCAGTTCTGGATGAAGTCTAAACCTCGAAAATCTGCACTGACGTCCAGGCCGCTGCTCCAGAAAAGTCAGGCGAGGTCTCGTGCGAAAACGGTGAGAGCCAGTGTGCTACCTGCACGTCATGTGAAGTCACGGAGCACGCAGATCTCTGCGGATCGTGGCGCAAGACCTTTGCAGGTCCCTCGCAAGCGGCTCAGCAGTCGCTGGATCCTGCCGCTTCGATTGAAGTTGGCAATGTCCGTCGGTTCTGTGGTAACGGAGATGTGCTTCTAAGAGCTTCCCCGAGCCATCTCGCTGATATCTTTGCTGGTGAGGCGCTAGAGACGGCCAAGTTCGCTTTGGGGGAGCAGGTGCCTGCACACTGAAGTTCCCAAGCATCTGTCTTACCCGAGGGCCATCCTCGTTTCAGTGTTTTGTTTAGTGCTTCGTTATATGGCAGAAGAGCCAGACATTGCAGATCGAACAACTCACCATCGCCGTCGTCACCATCATCAGCATCATCACCATCGTGAATCATCATCATCAGCATCATCATCATCATCGTCGTCGTCGTCGTCGTCCTTTGCCATCGTCATCATCATCAACATCGCCTTCAATTCTTCATCATCATCATCATCGTCGCCGTCATCGTCATCATCACCATCATCATCATCATCACCACCGTCGTCATCACCACCAGCATCAACATCGTCACCATCCTCATCGTCAGTATGCTGGTACACTAAATAGCATGATCGTCGTCATCCGGGCTATGATGCAATTCTGAAAAAGCGTCGTTGTGATCGCAGTGATCACTCGTAGTATGTTTCCAGTCTCGGGAGAAGCTTTCTACTCGAAATGGACAGAATAAACAAGAACAGTAAGCCCACGAGGGACCGCCGTAGAACAGCCAATCTTGCATCGAGAGTTGAACCTGTCTTTTCGCAGTTCTAGTTTGCTGCAGGTACAATATTGGAGCGATTCCAAGAACCGCTGGATGGATGCCATTGTGGAGGGCATACGGCTCAAGGAATGCCTTGGCAATTGTTGCAGTTCACTGTTTACCTTTTCTTCATATGCTGTGGCAGAGTGTCAGTATGCACAACGAGCATGACGCTTCTGCCTGGGCACTTGACTCGAGACGTTAAGCAAAAAGACGAGCCGTGCGCACTATGCGTCAGTGGCCCTTCGAGCGGTCTCAATGTAGCTCATCCTGAAGCTCCCCGTGCTTGCAGGAGGGCAATGTGGTTTACGACTTGCTCCCTGCCTGATTTTGAAGATTTTCAATGCTTCGGAAGATTTGCTTGGCGATTTCGGACGATAGCACAGCAGGTTCTCACTTCTTCAAGTGTTACACATGGCTACCAACCCGCCCTTCAGTGACTCTTACTCAGAGCCACCTGCCAGACATTGAGATTCGTGAGCTCCTGCATTTGCACTTGATGTCCCCGCTATGCCCACTGCAGAGAGAACAATGAACACCAAACTCTGCATGGTGTGGGACAGAGTTGCGTTCACAGTCAGCGTCGCTAACGTCGAACGGATTTCCAAGACGAGTGTTTGCCTTCTCGCCAAGTACAGCGTCATGCTGGAAATCGAGAGAGTGCGTGTCTTTGAAGTTGACTTCACATGGAGCAACTCACAACGACAGCAGCGGTATGGACCAGCGCTGGCAGGGTCAGATTCTAGCGGTCTAGCGTGTCTTTTTCTTTGGCTCCCGCAAGCACTTTTTCGTGTTCGCCGAGTTCTGCCCCCCCCGCCCCCCCCCCCCCCCCCCACCCAGGATTCATAAGGCTTGCCAAGTGGCCAAGTGCTTGTTGGGTTGCTTCCGTTTAGCCGTGTACTTCTTTCGCCCAGGAACTGCAAGCGCGGGGCTCAGGCAGAGAAGATCCAGTCCTATCAGAATGAGGAGGATCCGAGGGGTCCACGAAATCACATGGAGGCTTCATGATTGTTAACGAGAGAAGAGAGCTGGGAAGATACATCTGCCAGGACATTTCGCCATCGTAGGCGTGTCTTGGATGAAGACAGATTGATTTTTAATCTGGGATTGACAGTTGAGACCAAGTTGGGGTGGCTAGGGAGACTGTGGAGGAGCTGTCTGCTGTGTGTTCGCGCTGCCCTTGAAGCGCTGAGTGATTGACTTGAATGACGCACGATGTCAAGGCCCAGAAAGTGCTCGAACCTGCCAGCAACAGCAAGCCAGCTCAGGCCAGCTCCGGAAAGAGCATGGGTTTCACTGTTTGCGGTGAGAGAGGGGTGCCGCGCGCGTGCGCCAGTGGTGCATTGACATTGGTAACACCATGCAACACCTCTTCTCAAACTGCTGCTCTCATGGTCGGTGTGCTCTTAAGGCGTGCAGCGGGTACTGTGTCGGAAGCGCAAGAAGCACTGACCTGGCTGTCCTAGGGGCCAGAGATGATCCGAGCTCACGAGTGTTGGATATGCAAAGCCATGCTATGTTTTAGGATTCCGAGCTCGTGGCTTGTCGTAGGTGCTAGAGGCATCCTTTGCTAGCCTTCCGTATTTTCAGGTGCAATCTGCCTCTACTGTATCAGTCTCGCAGCATTAACCGTAAAAGCGAAAGTGGTAGAAACAGTTTAACTTAAAGTTCACAACCCATCTGCAGATTTCAGCAAGGACTTTTTTGCAATCAAATTAGGAGGTTAGTGTTGCAGTCCTAAGCCTACTGTGCCGAAGACAGAGTGCTCCGGCTCTGGCCCGTCTCAGCCTGCGAAAATTGCGGATCGTGTCTGTAGGGGATATTTGGTTGCCCCTTTGGCTCGGATGTAGGCTGCTGCTCAAGTCTTGTAGCGCGGTGCTCCAAGCTTCCTCTTGTGTAACTTGCTTCTGCGGCTGCTGGTGACTTGGCCTTCGGCGGTGTAGTGTGTAGTGAGGTGATTGTCCCTGCAGTGGGTCCCTGCTGCTCTTCTGCGGCGCTGCAGTTGTTGTAGCAAATGCCTGCGAAGTTGAGCATGGATGTGGCTTCTTCGGGTTGCAGACCTCCCTTTATGCTGAGGGTTTCCGGTTCCGCGTGTAGGAATTGGAACACTCGTGCTCTCAGCCTGGATGCGCAATTCCAAATCGCACTCCCAGATCGCGTGTTCTAGCGTGGTTCCCTTTCTGAACGTGTACGTTCCGGCAGTTTAGGTCCCGGTTTCAACCCCCCTGCTTGCCCTCCTCGCAAAACCAATAGCAATGCTCTTGCCGTGAATCGTCGCGGGGCCGTGGAGCACGGAGTGCCAGCAGTCATGGTGGCCCGGCCGCCGCTGGGCCACTGCGGGCAGGTCGCAAGCGGACGCCCTCAGCTTAGTGACTCAAACTTCGGGGGGTCACCCAGATTTCAGGGTCGTTCAGGGTATGGCAGTTAGATCAAAGATCTGGCTACTCTGCATGTAGCTCCGGTCATGCTGCATAATCATCTGATTGATAGAATGGCTCGATAATGTACTCCTCCCTGCAAAGGGTGTACTTGTTGTGTAAGCCTGGCCTTTTCAGTAAAACGTGCTTGGCTTCCGTCACTGCGCATCTGTTCTGGTGACACGGGCGACATACATGTAGGCTCGTTGCACTGTTTCGGTGTCTTCTGGACCAAGGTTCTGCAGGAACTGTCGTTGATGTGTTATTCTGTTTTGAACTGAGGTCGCTTCTTGCCTGTACTGGCCGTGTTGGCTTTGCCAGTGCTTCTCGGCCACAGTCATGCTTTGGCAGACGATGAAGGGATCGAATGACCGAGTTGCTCGGAGTCGACTTCGGTGCTCACGCGATTCATGCTTGCAGCCCTGCTTGCAGCCTTGCTTGCAGCCTTGCTTGCAGCCTTGCTTGCAGCCTTGCCATGCCTTGCAATGTGGGCCCTGCACATGTCTCTTGCTGCCGTGCATGCGACGGCACCTCTCGGTGGCTGGTGCCCTCTGGCGGGTGAGTGCCAGGTGCAGCAACAGGAGAATGAAGCATTCCGGCTGAGCCTGAAAAGCTCAGCCAAGGCATCAGAATTTCTCTGGCTATCTTTCGTCCGAAATACTTGGCTAGACGAGGCTGAGAGCAGACACTTTCACCTTGTACAAATCATGCGGCAGTTGGACTGCCTCTTGACGCTCGACTTGTGCCATGTGAACATGCCAGAGTTTGCCAGCAACTTCAACGATCTCTGCACCAGTTTCAAGCAGGCTCTGCACGTACTGGCAGAAGTCCGTCCGACCTCTGACTCAGAGGAGAATCTCTTCGCGATAGCATTTGAGGTGCTGCCGGATCATCCATGCTTCGTGAATGATCTTGAGCTGAAAAACTATCCCGAGCTGCATGACCTCCTGCGGCATGCTGTTTACCTTGATGTCGGAGTCGTCGACGACAGTTTCCCAATTGTTCGTGTCCCTCGCGCAACGGTGCTGCTGAGCCCGAGCAATGTCTGCGGGAGAGAAGACCTGCTGTGGTGGTATGCGTCGCCACGGCTGGAGGAGGTCATGACTCAAGATGCTTTTCTGGCATTAACCAGTCACAGCTCAAGAAGAGCACGTTGGGTGATCAACGTTGGAGCTGGAGACGGCGACTGCCTCCACGATGCAATACGCCAGGACGGACGCTACGAACGCGGTCCTGAAGACGGTAACGATCCAGCCAACTGCCTGCTTCTGGCTCTGCAGGATGTGCGTGGAATTCTTTTCGAAGGCGATCATAAGGTCTACGAGGCACTGCAACGCCTGCATCAATCACGTGCAGGAGTGAAACTAAAGCTCGAGCCTGCGACACCATACAGCATGCTGACAGCGGTGGAGGAGTTTCGGCACACAGAAATGGACTATCCCGCCGTGGCTTCCGACCTGTTGCTGGCAAAGGTGGACGTGGATAACTGTGATTGCTGCTTTGTCGAGGCGCTCCTCAATCAGCAGCCAGATGGACAACCGTTGCTTCCGATGCTGATCCATGTCGAGGTCCACTCCTTCATTCCACCGCCTATTGTTTTCAGACCTTTCAATTTCACAGAAGGTGTTGGCGACACCCTGTTAGAGCTTAGCCAGGACAAGCGGCGCAGAGGGCACTTTCTTCACTGCTCTCTTTCGGCCTTCACCGAGCTCCTTTTTCCGTTGGGCTACCATTTGGGGCAGCTGATTGGATTTGATGCTGTATTTATCCACAAGAACGCGATGGCAAGAAGCGCTCGTGCAGACGCCCACGATTTTTTGCATGGAAGTCGGGTCGAAGCTTTATGGTATGGGTGTCATTTTTGCCACCCACTACGTGTTGCCAGCCCAGTCGATGCGCACTACTTCGCTGAGTTTCGCTACGACTACAGGCGCTGGAATGACCCAGAGGTTTCGGCATCCGTCCGCATGGAGGAGATACGGAGGTATCTGGATTTCTGGAAGGTGCCACGGTCGACCTACGCTCTCTACGTCACTGCCAGCCCAGGATAATGCAGCCGGTCCTGTAGTCTGGGCTACACCCCTTTTCCCCAAGACCGCTTCGAAAGTACAGCGCTAAGATGCTTAAAGGGTAGGACTGTATTTGGGTATGCCCTCCCTCAGCTCCCCACACGGCAACGTTTCTGGGTAAGCATCGCAGCTTGGGATCAAGGAGTCGGGTTTAGGAGCTGTCTGTCTCTGTGTGTCTGTGTGTCTGTGTGTCTGTCTGTCTGTCTGTGTGCGTCTTTGAGGGTTTGATTGTGTTTGGAGCAAAGTTAGGCCGTGGAACCCTGCCGAAGCACCCAAATCACCCAAACTCGCTGGATTTTATCAATGTTGCAAAGGTTGCTTCGTCATGGTCTCTCTTTCTCGCTACCTCGAGTGTCACTTCGAGCGGCCGAGGCTGGGCTGATAGGACTCAAGGTATGGCAACGTGGGTGTCACAGTCGAGCGGCGGATTTCGGATGTTCAGTTTGTGTGTTCTGCGAGGTTTGGCTGGGTGTTGGGGCTAGTGGCTAGCGCGCACCCCGAACCCGAAGCTTGCAATGTGCGCAAGCATGAGCCAAATGGTCAGCGGCCATTCTGTTGCGGTCAGTGGCGGGTGCTCAGCGTCCAGGAGCAGCCAGAATGCATCAGACGCAGGCATTCTTGCCTGCCAGCGAGGGGCTGTGTAAAGCTTTGGAAACCATCGTAGAGTCCATGTGTGTGTGTGATGTGTGAACTTCCCTGATTAGCACGTGGGAAAAGAGGGACTCCTACATTGGTCTGCTTTTTCGCATTGCAGGGGGATGCCCCGCACCTGAAGAGTGGGTATCTGACAAAGAGGCTCTTCAGAGTGNNAGAGTGTGCTGATATGGTTCCGGGACACTGGAACCACACACCTGCAAATCAGCACGGCAGCCCCCTGAGGCGCCAAGATTAGGTGAAAGGACAGCCCCTGTGGTGGCGAGATTAGTTTTTGCAGTAGCCGTCGCTTGTGTGAAGCCAGAATAGAAGTCACAAGTGACCCGTCTACCCAAACACCCGCGCACGCACACACTTGTGGGATTTCGGCAAGAGCAACAGGCAAGCACAGAAGAAGGGAGAGGCGGGGTTGTTGTTCGTTGTTCAACTGTGACTTCTACTTCGGTTCACTTGTGTCTTCTCACTTGGCGCCCTTGCAAAAT